ACACGAAGGATATCCCTGCTATACCGAGAGATCCAAATGGATTCCTTTTCTCATGGCGCAACACTGATAGTAAAATCGGGATAACATTGTGAAAAAAGACAAATGGACGTATTGGCGGTCCACTGGTGCAGCACTACACACCAGTCCTCAAAACAGTCTTAAGATCTCAATTTTAACTGGCATTCGTTTTCGACCGCTTCGACATCACGAGAACTGATTTTGACGCACCCCACAATATTTTCTGACCGGGGTTGCGAATCGTGGGAAAAAAAAAAATTCCGAAAAATGAGATTTATTTTTTTTATACCGCGCACCAGTGTACCGCCAATACGTTCAAATACATTCACAAACATATATATAACATTTAGCCTGGCTTGGCCCGACGGTGTCATGAGCCCCACTATACGAAGCGGAGACACGACCGGCGTGTTTACCATCGCGTCAACAAAGTGGCTCTGTGAGAGCCGAAGCACGATGATGCTTCGAGAACATTTTTCTTGCCTCCTCCTCCCCCCCCTGCTCCCTTCTCCTCCCCTCTCAAATTCGTTTTCTGCTCGGAAAGAAAATCCCCTCCGGCCAATAAACAGAAACCCAAGAGCAGCGTTTCTCGTGGCGCTTGCGCTGGCTCGGCACAGTCGCGGGCGACGGCGACGACGCGTTTCCAATCCGGCAGCGAAATTGGGGCGGAGTGCCCTCCCATTTTAACCGCGCTCAAAAAAAGAACAGGTCAACAAAAACAAGACAAACAAAACAAACCGTGACCCAACCAAAAATTATCCAGCCGAGAATAATTACAACCCTCCCACCCCCCCCCCCCATCCAATCTCTCCAATCTATTGTGACCGCAATAGATAAATTTGTGTTTTTCAGAAAATATCACTAGGGGGGGTGAGATTTTTTCCCCCTTTGTATTTGTCTTATTTTTGTTTGTTTTGCTTCGTGTGGGGGAGGAACGCCGTGTGTATTTGATTTAGAAGCCGCAGTGCGACTCTGGCGTGTGATTGGAAAGCTCCTTGGCGGGGGGGGGGGGGGGGCCTTGTGCATTTACGATCGCCCGCTCGTTATTGGCCGTCGCCGCTCGCCCCCTACATAAGGGTGACACCCCACCGGTGCCGCCCGCACCTCGCAGCGCGTCGGGGTGACACCGGGCTTGGTTTTGGTGTGTTCTGGCCATTTTTTGTGGCTCTTCATTTCCATCCACCGGGCAATCGAAACCAGCGTCGGGGGCTCGCGTAGGCGACAATGCGGAGTCTCGTTAATGCCTGGCTGATCGTGCGCACTGCTCTTCTAATCTCTCCGCTAACAGGTAAATGGTTGCTGAAGTTTTTTGGCAAAATATTTCGCGTCTTATTTTCTTACACTCGCCCAGCTGCTATAACGGGTCTCTATTATGCGTGCACTGTGTTCAACTCACGTGTGTTTAGTTTATGACCATTATATACTTTGTTTGTTGAGCAATATTCCTCAAGGATCCTGTACTCACTCTCTGCAACGTTAACATTGTTGTTCTTGCTGCTGTGCTCACGCAGCACCACGTATCTCCCGTGTAAAATAGCCGGGGCAATCGGCTACATGGGATCATCTTCCGTGTAATAGATCAAGTAAACTCAAACTCTACACTTACATTTACTTGATGGCGTGCTTGCCAAAGTTTTAGAATCTGTGCTTCTTCAAGGTCCCCGTTTTTAAATGACCTAGGCTTGAATACTATATTGTGTCTGAATACTTGGTAACGGTTAGGGCACTGCACTGCAATCCTTGCCACCTGAATTCGATGCCCAGCCATGGCGCTAACATCAGTGGCGAGTGACATCCGAACCCGGTCCTGGGTCACTGCTCAGAGGTTGACTCATCTTCCAATGAGAAATGCCACTAAGTTGTGACTTGCATTTAGATGACTTTGCTATCAATTTCCACGTAATGACCAATGTTTATTTTTTGCTATTGTGTGTGGCCACGTCGCTTCTAAAAATAAGCTAATAGCTCAGTGGTGTTTTCCTGCTAAGATAAAAATAGTTGAGCTTTATTTGTATACTTTTTTTAAAGTGATTTGTTTACCTTTCCTATACGTTGCACTCCTTTCGTGTTTGTGTATTGTTTGTTGTTGTACCGTTCTTACCCGCCCCTACTGGACATCTGCGGAAAAGAGCTTTATAGCTCATCGGATTCCTCCAGTATAAATAAATATTGTGATTCTGATTCGGTGTGTGACCCTCGACACTGGAAAGACAAAGGTGGCCGTGCGTGGTGCTGACCATTCCACACCCGCCTCGCACCGTGCCCACCTTAATAGGTGCTCACTCACAGTTCTCTTCCTATAACAGTGTACATTTCGCTACGCGGGGGGATCTTTGTCATGTTGTTCTTCACAGTGAGCCGTCATAACATGATTGTTGATGCGCGCGCAGTAGGTGGGCCTGTAAGCCTCCGGTGGAACAACGTAGGCACTTGTCGGGTGCAAGTCACCCCCGTCCGTGCCTCGGCTTATCGGAGACATCACAGCGCCGCCCCGTGCCACCCCGTAAAGGGGGACGTTAAGCCAGCTTCTCTTGGGGAATTCTGGGGGGCGGCGGCGGGGGGGGGGGGGTGTTCCGTGGTCATGCTTGGGAAGAACGAGAGATATCAACACTCTGTGCGTAAATCCAAACGGACGAGACAGAAGCAAAACAACTGCAGCGATGTCAAAGCCCACGCTGGCGTTGTTCAACACGTTACTCAGTGCCGACTCGAAGCCACTTTGTCAAATCCACTGCTTGGTTGAAACGGCGTGGGGGGAGCCCCATGCCGTTTCGGTCATCGGGGGTTGGCTTGGCTGAATTCCATTTAAATATTTTAATGGCTTATTCTTTAAGTGAATATTTTATCTGTTAGCATTATTGATAGAGGTTTTTTTCTACTTTCTGTTTAGTTTGTTGTCCTTCCCCCACACCTGCCGATTAGTACGGTTGGCTACGTACGGTGCGAAAGCAGTTCAACATACACATATGCTGATGACGTTTACAAACGGAAAGAAGATTGAAAAAAGACAAGCAAGTTACATTGGTTTTTTTATTGTATGGTAAATAAGTCAGCTGTAATCCTTAAAAAGTTCTAAATTAATTTGCGAAGAGAATGCATGCATGCATTAATGTTAATGGAAGTCGGTTTGAACATTTGTAAAAATAAATTAAATAACCCTATGTGATTTGTTAAAATAAACATAATAACCGTGTATGTCCTGACATTTGGGCCACCCTGCATGTAAAGCTTTGGATTTATTTGAATTTGAATGTGCATTTGACTCGAAACATGTTTGGCCCACTGCAGTCTAATGAGATTCAAGATTGAATCTTGCTTCTCTCCCGAGCGGTGCATTTAATGAAATGGAGCGTTGGGTGGATTGTTGCAACTGCACGCACCGCAATTACTGCAAATTAAAATCACACACACTCACCCACGCGCACATACCTGGCTCCCCACAGACATTCGTGTAACTATTTCTGCGTTTCTCTCATGCGTTTAAAAAAAACAAAACTGACAGCTGAACAAAGCAAGCAAGCGAGATGTTAAAGTTACTTTTAGTTTTGTTTAAAATCTTTCCTCGTGATGCTTGCAGAAAGGCTGGCCATCATTGTCATCGCCAACAACATGATCAAAGACAAAGATCCCCCCTATAGCCTTAAAACACCGTTGGGGCAATTGCTGTTAGCGAACACCAATGAAACCTGGCAGAGCGCACGAGGGGGTGGGGTGGTCAACCCCACGCCCGACCGCCTTTGTCTCCCCAGTGGTGGTGTTTACACACTGCACCAGGCACTCATTTGAGGCTGAGTCAACCTAGGGGAGGCCCAGGACCTGTTCAGATAATTGTCACTGGTATTTGCCGAGAGCAGAAATCGTACTTGAGTTTCTGGGTTTGTAGCGCAGCTCGCTCACTATTGCACCACCGCTCAACGACATCACCACCGCTCAACGACATCACCACCATCATAACCATTATCAACAACAGCTACAGTACCACTACAACCATCATCACCATCAACAACATCATCACTACAAGAAACATTATCGTCAGTGGTAACAGCGGCAGAGAAGGAGTCACCTCCCATCAAATGAAGGGAGACTGAGCAGAGAGTTACGTGGCGAGGAGCGGAGAGAGATGACAGGGGAGAGGTAGACAAGGGGCGACTCCACCGAGGAGCTTGCAGACTGTGAGTGCGATCCGCACATTGGGAGCCAGTGGAGGGATCGGAGTACTGGGATGATGTGATCTCATTTATGGATGCGGGTCAGAAGTATGATAGTGGCGTTCTAGGTTATTTGGAGCTTTAATGGTGAAGAATGTGTTGGGGGGGGGGGAGTGTAGGGTCTTTCCAGCAGCTGGGGTGAAAAAACAGCGGATGTGGGAAACGTCACGCAGCTGGAGATGGGAGCTGAAAGAATCGGAATTTTTTTTTTTATCCTGGAGAAATCCGATGAGCTATGAAACTCTCTTTCACAGATTTCCAGTAGATGTGGGGAGGCAAAACGAGAGCTCGAGTTCCACGATAACCCCAGCTTTTATTTTTATGCAGCGCGATGCCGGGAATGTTCGCTGAGCGCGCATGCGCACACCTTTTCACTAAATTAACCACAATACCTTGCTGGGCCATATACCATCATCACATGGTTTATGCCGCATCGCTCGGTTTCAGGTGTGCTTCTGCGGCTGTCTGGAGCACTCTTCCTTCCGATATTCGGAAGTCACTGGAGCTATGCTATTTCAAATCATCTCGATTGAAATCTCATTTATTGAGAACTGCTTTTTGTGTTTAGTTCAACATACGCTGCATTACGAATCCTTCCCCCGCACCTCTGATTAGCTAGATTGGCTACGCACGGCACAAAAGAAGACAAACATACACACACACACACGCGCGCACACAATCGCAATTTACGAATCTAAAATCGCAGCGAGCGCCCCCTGGTCTCTGTCCTGTCTGTGCGTCTCACTGCGACGATCGGTTGGCGGGGGTCCCCAGCGCTGCCGAGGGCGGACCCGCTGCAGGAATGCTGCACGAGCGGCCAGCGCTGGGCCGCCAAGCGCCAGCAGTGCTCCGACCTACCCCGACCCGCCAACGACTTGGAGGCGTGCAGGTACCGGCGCTTTGCCCCATCACGGCCGCGAGTTCTAGCGAGGCCGGTTTCCACCCCCCCCCCCCCACCCCACCCCTCTTCATTCATTCGACCGTGCGAATTTGCTCGTCGTTGGTTTTTACCGAGCGCTTCGTTTCTCGCTGAATGTTTTTTCGGGTGCGCTTGGTAAAACCCGGGGTTAGGCGCTGTCCTCGCGGAGGGGAGGTCCGTATGGTGGATTTGGTGTGTGCCAGGTGTGGAGACATTGTCCCGGGTCACTGAGCCAGACACACCTGGCCGAAATTAAGCCCTGGGGTTTTGTCGTGCGTAGAATCGTAATGTGTCGAGTTTTAATAATGCATATTATTCGTCCAGGGCCCAGGGGTCGGCAACCAAAATAACAAGGAGATAAAAATTTTTTACGAATTCTGTAAAAAAAAAAAAATTACGAACCGCAATGCGCTGTGGTGAATACGAGACGGTGGTCCTTCATACATAAAGTCACGAAAGCAGCCCTTAAAGAGCCGCGTGCTGCTCAGGAGCCGCAGGTTGCCGACTCCTGCTCATGGTGAACTGGACTCCCATGGTGAACTGGATTCCCATGGGCAATGGTAAACTGGACTCCCCATGGTCAGGGGTCAGCAACCAAAATATCAAGAAGAGCCATTTTTTTCAACTGTCAAGGCTATATTTCGATTTAAAGCTTTCGTGACTGCAATGATTCATCTTCTTTGGTTCTTTCGGTAAAGTCACGTAGAATGAGAATAAAATAATAAATTGATTAAATAAAATAACACAATAATATTCTCATTTTATTTTGTCAATTTATTATTTTATTCTCATTCTACGTGTCAAGGCTATGTGGGGGATCTTTGTCACTGGGGTTGGTGTGCTCAGGATGGCACAGAAGCGATGCTGCCTGGCCTCGCTGGAGGATGCCTCGTGCCAGGCCGGCATGACGACCGCACGGCAGGTGTCAGGGTGTGGATCTCACATCGACAGCTGCTCCGGCAGCATGTACCAGGTACACACACTCACACCCCATATACCAAGTACACACACACCTCATGTACAAGGTACACACACCCTCATGTACCAGGTACACACATACACACACACCCCATGTGCCAGGTACACACACCCCCCATATACCAGGTATATACACACTCACACCATGTACCAGGTACACACCCCCCATATACCAGGTGTACACACTCACACACATTTATACTTACACGATCTAACCCCAAAAACGTTTATTATGAATCATATACACCCCATTTACTAGATACAGACACTCATACGCACCCCATGTACCAGGTAGACACTCACACACACCCCATGTACCAGGTACACACACACACACCTGTACCAGGTAGACACTCACACACACCCCATGTACCAGGTAGACACACACACACACCCCATGTACCAGGTAGACACACACACACCCCATGTACCAGGTAGACACTCACACACACCCCATGTACCAGGTACACACACACACACCCCTGTACCAGGTAGACACTCACACACACCCCATGTACCAGGTAGACACACACACACACCCCATGTACCAGGTAGACACTCACACACACCCCATGTACCAGGTAGACACTCACACACACCCCATGTACCAGGTAGACACACACACCCCATGTACCAGGTAGACACACACACACCCCATGTACCAGGTACACTCACACACACCCCATGTACCAGGAAGACACTCACACACACCCCATGTACCAGGTAGACACTCACACACACCCCATGTACCAGGTAGACACTCACACACACCCCATGTACCAGGTAGACACTCACACACACCCCATGTACCAGGTAGACACTCACACACACCCCATGTACCAGGTAGACACTCACACACACCCCATGTACCAGGTACACACACAAACCCCATGTACCAGGTAGACACTCACACATACCCCATGTACCAGGTAGACACTCACACACAACCCATGTACCAGGTACACACACACACACACCCCATGTACCAGGAAGACACTCACACACACCCCATGTACCAGGAAGACACACACACCCCATGTACCAGGAAGACACACACACACACACCCCATGTACCAGGTACACACACACACCCCATGTACCAGGTAGACACACACTAAGGAAATAACTTCTAAACCCTCCATGACCTAGCGTGTAGTGGTGGTGTCAGAAATAAGGAGTGAGGATAGAATGAGGTGACGCGCCAAACTGAGGAAAGCGCAGAGAGGGCGGAGATGGCTCCTTGAAGATTGTGACTTTGTTCTGCAGCTAAAAATGGAGTTGTCCCTTATCGCCCGCTCGAGTCGGGGGTTCGCTGCGTGTGAGTTGGACTGGACGTGTACCAGACCGAATCTACTTGTGGGCTTTGTTCGTTTCTCGCCGATGGACTTTTATTTTGTTTTTCTGCTGTTGTGCCAACTGATGGAATCGAGATAAGCTGCGCTGATTCATAAAGCCAGCGGAAATGTTGGCGGGCAGGTTTTATGTATTTTATTTATTTTTTAAAAATCTATCTTTTTACATATTTTCTTGCGAGTCCGATTTTAGGTCAGAATTTGTGTGTTTTTTTAGTGACTCATTTGGACTGTCAAAGGGCAGTTCCACAAAGTGTTTGTGTTACATTATATACTAGGCACCCGTGTAAAAGACGAGGTAAAGGTGCCGCCCTGCAATGCCTTCGCTCGTGCCACTGCTGGCTGAAGGGCCCTCCATTCGAGGAAGCTGTAGAGAGCCCCTATCTTGTCGAGGAGGGATTACCTGGCCTACTTTTTCCACGCCGGCCAGACGTCGTGGAAGAAGTTGGAGTAACGGACACTTTACCCAACTGCACGCTTTGTAATTACCGGGGAAACGTCGAGGTACTAGAGTTGTAAATGTTGTGGGTTTACTCTCCAACATATCGGTGTGCTGAACTGGTAACTAATTGGCACGTTTTGTTTATTTGACAAACCTTACTAAATTGGCTTTATCGGGTGGTGGTGGGTTTAACGACACATTTATATTTACGCGATCTAACCCAAAAAAAACCTCTGTCGTGGATAATATTGGTCGTGAAAGCCTGATACGTGTTAAACTGAACAACGCGTTGTTGCTCAGACAGTGTCTATGAAAGCTTTTACCCGAGTCCGCCGTGGCAGTTTCTTTGGCACAGTGGCGATAACGATTGTGCAGTTGACAACTTGATTGTGGTTGGGTTTATTTGGTGCGTGTGTGTGTGCATGGAGCGGTAGTGTAGCAGTTAACGCGCTGCACTACAGACCTGGCGACCTGGGCTCGATTCCCGCTCACGGCCAACACCGGTGACAATTATCTGAACCGGTCCTGAGCCTTCCTTGGGGTCGACTCAGCCTCAAATGAGTAGCTGGTGCGGTGTGTAAAAACATCGCCACTGGGGAGACAAAGGCGGCCAGACGTGGTGCTGGACACCCACCCCCTCATGTGCCGTACCGGCCTTCATAGGTTCTCGCTTTAACAGCACTTGCCTCAACAGTTTGTTAAGGCTATACTAGGGCAATCTTTGTCTTTGTGCTCACCTCTCTGTACACAAACAGCCGTGCTGCGACTGCTGCCTGCTGGGCTTGAAGACCCAGAGCCAGGGCCTCGCCTGTACAGATCTGCAGGGCCTGGGTCAGCTGTGCAGCCTCGTGTACCGCACCTGCTGCGCCAGCGGACAGAACAGCACGGCGGAACGTGCGTGACCAATAGCTCCACGATTGCAATCTCACAATTCACACTTGCAACGAAAATGAACTCGGCACATTCGGCAATAACACTGTGGCTTTGGGCAATGGCGCTGCTTCATCCTGGTAGGATGGGAATGGTTTAGTTTTATTTTAATGTGTTTGGGTTATTTGTAACGTTCTTACCCGCCCCTACTGAACATCTGTGAAAAAGAGCTTTATAGCTCATCGGATTCCTCCAGTATAGATACATATTCTGATTCCGATTCATTCACAATGTGCTATATGAAAAAGGACCATTGCATCAAACTTGCTGAACCCGTTCCGATGGCATACTCGTACGTCATCAGTTATTCCGATTCCTAACTGGATCAAATCGAATCTCAGAACGGGAAACGTTTAACTTCAGAGATCTGAGTGTTGGGTGCCGACCGTTGTGCGATTGTATTCCACGATTTGGTGGCGACTTGCCGAATTGTGCAGCCATTATTTAGTTTGCGTCGCATGTGTGTGTATAGATTGAAAACTCATTCTAGATTGAAAACTCATTTCTTTAGAACTGCTTTATGTGTTTAGCTCGTTGTTCTTTCCCCGAACCTCCGATTAGCGTGGTTGGCTACGTCCAGTGCGAAAGAAGTTCAACATATATTGATTTTTTTTCTTTATAAAGTCTCGTGATTGGTGTGAGCTGAGGTCCATGTCCCGCAAGACCCTGTCAGGAAATTGACGACCGCACGCAAATCCGTACTCATGATGGGTTTACAAATCCTCAGTCGCACTTGGCGTCAAATCCTCAGTCGCACTTGGCGTCTATTCTAACGCACAGGAATCTCACCTCCCAATCGACACCATAATCAACTCCGACTCGCAACAATCATAGATGAGAATTTGCATTTATTATTATTGTGATTATGAAGTTGGGGTTGTCTGTGGTGTGGTCCTGTTGTTTGCTAAGGGAGCAGTAGTGTAGTGGTTAGCGCTCTGCATTATGAACCCGGCGACACGAGTTAGGTTCCTGCTTCACGGTCAATGCCAGTGACGGTTATTTGAACCGGTCCTGGGCCTCCCTTAGGTCGACTCAGCCTCAAAACGAGTACCTGTTGCGGGTGTGTAAAACATCGCCACTGGGGAGACAAAGGCGGCCAGGCATGGTGCTGGCTACTCCGCTCCCTTGTGTGCTGTTTCGGCCTCCATAGGTGCTCACTAACAGCACTTTCCCCAACAGACTGCGTTGGCTATACGGTGTGGGGGGGGGGGTTAATCTTTGCCTTTGTTGTCTGCTGTGGTGTCACCCTGTCCTGGTGTCTGTTTACGTACGTATGTTGAACTTCTTTCGCACAGTACGTCGCCAACTGTACCTAATTGGAGGTGCGATGATTATGAAACCCTTTTTTTTTAAGGAGGAGATCAGTTCCAGAAGCAGAACGAATGGAGGGATGACCCCGACGTGCCGGCCAGCCAACAGCAATTGGACAAGTGTCACGGTGCGTGCGAGCACCCCCACCCCAGACTTTCATAGATGTTTTCCCATCATCATTACGGGAAGCCACAACACGAAAGTTAAACTGCCAATCTCGTCACCGCGTACCCAGGCTGATGTGTGTCCTCAGGGCACACATCAGTCAATATTGTGAGTAAAATGGACTTTAAAAAAATCGCTCAAATTAAAAAGTGACGTATACCGGCGTGCCTCGACGATTAAAGGGTTTAATGAGTGCACACTCTCTGCGATGATATATGGATCCGAAACTTAGACGTTGACACAAAAATACAACGGCTAACGCTGTCTGCATCACATGGAACACGTGCACATACAAGGACAAAGATCAACGATCCTCTGTATAGCCTTAACAGACTGTTGGGGCAAGTGCTGTTAGTGAGCACCTATGAAGCCCGGCACGGCACACAAGGGGGGTGGGTGGCCAGCACCACGTCTGCCCGCCTTTGTCTCCCTAGCGGCGATGTTTACACACAAGCACGAGGTGCTAATTTGAGGCCGAGTCGACCTAGGGTAGACCCAGGAACCTGTTCAGATAATCATCATTGGTGTTGGTGGCCGTGAGCGGGAATCGAACTTGCGTCGCCGGGTTGATAACGCAGCGCGCTAACCCCCGCGCACACCGTCGTACACACGCACACTGAGATCTTCATATGAATCGGCTCTATTAACGCAGACGGCGCCAATTGCTCAGTGCGTAACGTTAGGACGTCTTCAACAATCATCAGGCGCATGCAGCATGGAACGAGTTAACTTGTATTTTAATATCAGGATTGAATCCGTCGCGAAGATTGTCATTTGGGGAAACCCTTGCCTTCATCCAGCAGTGCATAGACCGTTACTGACGATGATGATGATACAGGTGAATGTCTCTCTCTCTCTCTTTCTTTCAGCGTTGGGAAAAACGTGTGCCCACAAGTGCGTTGAAGCCAGCACGGGGGCACAGTGCGCGTGTCACATCGGCTACCGGCTCCGGAGTGACGCAGTGAGCTGTGAAGGTGGGCGGCTTGGGCGCATCACAGCATTGCAGTACTTTTGTGCCCCCCGCGTCTACGCTTCCCGCCTTCAGCAACGTCTCACTGAGATATCTATATATAAGAAGGGAGGCATCATCACAGCGATTACAGCACTCATGGCAATCAAGATTCCCCACATCTCCGATTAGCACGGTTGGCTACGTACGGTGCAAAACAAGTTCAACATACGTACAAATTCGCACAGACCCCGTACAGCACAGGGTTTTGTTTCGCACTGCCCTGTGCTGTCTGCATCATAGTCCCACATGCTGTTATTGCTGGTGGTCACCCATGCAAGCACTCGCCAGGTTTATCAGGGAACGAAACAAAAACATATATATATATTAAACGTATAACACCATGGCCAGTCTATTGGTGGATGGGTGCCTGTTAGGTTTGCCACCTCCTACGGGTTTGACCCTTGACTTACGTGAAAAAGAGCTTCATAGCTTATCAGAAGCGTGGAATGCAAATGGATTTTTACTGCGAGGTTGAAATAATTTCTGTTCCATCCCACCCCCCCCCGCTCCGACGGGCGGAGCACAGACGTGAACGAGTGCCTGACGGACGAGCACCACTGCCAGGAGGGACAGCGCTGCATCAACACGGCCGGGTCTTTCCGCTGCCAGCGCGAGATCAGCTGTGGCACGGGCTACGAGCTCACCGAGCTCAACCACTGCCAGGGCAAGTTACCCCCGCCCCCACCCTCCGCGCGCAGGCAGCCGCCACCGACGACGTCCGCTGATGTCCCCTTGTGCGTGTGGGGGTTTTCTCCAGGCATCGTCGTCATCGTCATCGTTGTCGTCATTGCCATTGTCGGCGTCGTTGTTGTTGTCACCATTGTCATTGGTTCGACGCAACTGGTTGAGGATGTCAGATTGCACATCGGCGCCTCCCCCCCCGAGTCAGAGATCGGTCTACCTGGAGATTGGTGTGAACGGCCTTCGAACGACAGTGGGGCAGCTCAAGCACGAGCTTCGCTCCATCTCCGCGGGGGACGTGATCTCGAACCGCGTTCTCGAACCGCGTTCCCACTCCGTCGTTAGTCTCGACCACCGGTCGTCGCCGTCGTCCCCTTCCAGCGACACGTCACGCCCAAGCCCGCTGATGTTTCTTGACAGTCATCGTGATGTCTCTGACTTGCTTATGTTCGCAAATCCTCCATGTGTTCCTCTTCCGGCCTCGGTGTAGTTCAAAACGTGCATCCCTCCGTGCTGTTTAGTACACCTATCAGCTTTGAATTCCGTTTTCTTTGTCAGTGTCCATGTTTCTGATCCGTATGTCATAGCAGGGGGCATTCACTGATTAAAAACAAAAACATCTTCTTTACACCATTCTGGTAGATTATAATTATAAATCGTTATTATGATTATTATTTGTTTTGGATGCCCTCGTGGCGTAACGGTGAGCAGCGCACTGAACTTGCAATCCAGAGGTCGTCGGTTCGTTTCCTCTCCTGGCATGCCAGTTGAAATGATGGTGCATGATTCTTAAATTGCAGCTCCATCTCTCCCCACCCAGCATTTTAAACGGATACACCACACTTAGTCGACGGTCAGGTCGCGTGCAGTGGGGTCAAGTGTGGGCACCCCGATATCTTGCTGAAACGTAGCCAACCGCGCTAATCACGCCTCTGATTAGCACGGTTGGCTACGTATGGACGCTACAAAAGTTGAATATACATACATATAAACCCGCCCCTCGTGGACATCTCTGAAAAGAGCTTCAAAGCTCATCGGATTACTCCAGTGTAAGCAAAGACTCTGATTCTGCTCATCCAAGCCAATTGCCCTCTAGAGGGGGGCTCTCTACAGCCTCCTCTGGTGGAGGCCCCTTCCGCCAGCAGTGGCGCGAGCAAAGCAATCGCGGTGCTGTGCCAATGACTGCGCGTTGTCACGATCGCCGTCATTGCCCTCGTTGTCGTTGCGCGCGGGCGCCTGCAGACATCGATGAGTGCGAGACGGGCACACACAACTGCGGCGAGGAGCTGAAGTGCCAGAACACGCTGGGCTCGTTCCGTTGCCGCCCGCGCGAGGAGTGCGGCGCCGGCTTCCTGCAGGATGCGCTGGGCAGCTGCATCGGTGAGACGCGGCGCCTAACCCCCCCCCCCCCCCCTCCTGCCCACGCCCCGCTAGCACCCCCCCGCCCCCCCCGCCACACTCTCTGCACCTCTGATGAGCACGGTTGGCTACGTACGGTGCAAAAGGAGTTCGGCGTTCTCATAGAGTAAATTGCAAAAAATGACGTTCCACAATTTATCCCCGGTTACGGTGTAAAGCGCCTCGCGACGAGGGATCTGTTTCGGATCGCGCGCAGAGCAGCGCAGGTCTTGTGTGTTGGAGGAACGGCCCACGGAAGCGGATACTGCAGAGCTACCTCTGAGATCCATTTAAGTGACCACTAGTTGACAAAGTAGAGGGAACAACTTTCCCACCCACTGTGTCACTGAGAGTAATGTGTTCCTCGTTTGACAGTCAAATCGATTTTAAATTCTTCAAAGCTGGAATCGGTGCAATTTATGTGCGGAACCAAATTTAACGTGAGGGATTTTTTTTGTACACTCATTGGTGACTGAGCTGAGACCATCAACTCACTGCACCTGTGAACCCGATTCAATCGCCGACAGCTGCCTGGATTCAAACCCATGATTTCAGCGGTGATCTCTGCGCAACTCGGCCATCTCGAACAAGTGAAAGCTCTGCATCTCCACGACCATTGGAGAGCAATCCCAGACCGTGTTGCTAACAGCACTTGGCTCAATAGTCCAGTAAAGGCTATACGGGGGATCTTTGTCTTGATTTTTTTGTTAGGTAAAAACACTTTTTTTTAACGACCTTTCACTCCCGGCAGACATCAACGAGTGCACGACGCAGTTGGACATCTGCCAGCTGGGCTATAATTGCATCAACACAGTGGGGTCCTTCACCTGCCAAAGGAACATCATCAACTGCGGGCGAGGGTACCACGCCAGCCCTGACGGAGGCCGCTGTGTCGGTGAGTACCCCGGTCGGCGTGATCCGGTGCGGAAAGATCCTCTTTTGTTCGGCTGCTGATGGAGATGCAGAGGAACGACTACGATTTCACATCCAGGTGGTCAAGCCAGAATAACCGCGTCAGGAGCAGCGGAGTGCATCGCCGTGATGTCTCCTTCGTATTTGTGGATCGGGTATTGCGTCCTTATATTTTGCACGGTCTGTTCTGGTTGACCAATCGCACACTGGAGAGTTTGTATGTTTCCATTTGTGCATCAGGTATCAGTATCTGCCATGGTTTGTGCGGATGCGGTTAAGGGTGGACCATGAGCTTCGTTTAAGATCAAACCCGGGGATCGTCTGCGTGGAGTCTTTCTCAAAGTGTTTGTTTGCGAGTTCTTTTGAACTCCATTCAGCTCTGCACACTTCATCGGGATTGATCTCGCATTGTGTGGAATGGTGATCTTCCCCGAGTTGACTCATGACGGCTACACGGAACTAATAATTTAACATTGCTTTATGTTTTTACATGCAATATTTCCGATTTCTCCTATGGCGCAGTTGTTTTTGCGCTGATTTCTATTTGATTGTGTTCTTGCTTTTGTAAATTTGTATTGACCCGGGGCACTCACTCTTGCAAATTAGACTCTCTCCCGGTCTCTTTGAGTTCTCACCTGGTTAAAAAAAAATACACTTGAAACTCGAGCTCCCCTAGGTCGACTTAGCCTCAAATAAGAATGTGCCGTGGCGGCCTGCATAGGTTGCTGCTCGCTAACAGCACTTGCCCCCAACAGTCTGTTAAGACTACACGGGGGATCTTTGTCACAGGGGGATTTTTGTCGTTGTGTGCGCGTGCGTAACAGACGTGGACGAGTGCCAAACGGGTGCGCACCAGTGTGGCGATGGCCAGCAGTGCCAAAACACTCCGGGCAGCTACCGCTGCAACTGCGCCAGCGGCTACTACTACGACACTCTGGGACGCACCTGCGTGGGTACGTTGCGCTCCTCGCCATCGCTGTGATATTCAACATCGGGGTGGGGCACCTCTACCCGGTGCGGGGCAGGTCGAGACGACGGGGCCCGGCTATTTACATCGCGCCGCCCGTGTCCACGCAGCAGCAGCAGCAGCTGCCCACGTGGTGGGCCCCCCTTATTAATATGGGAGGTAGGCCCCCCTCCACCCCCCCCCCCGTCTCCACCCCTCCCCCGCGCCCCCCATTATTAACATATGGCTTTGGCGAGATGTTAACTACCTCGCATGGTATGCAGGAGGTCGTGGGTTCGATCTCAACCTTGACGTCTGCTGTATATTTGGAGTTTACATGTCTCTCTCCCCGTGGCGCGTGGATTTTTCTCCAGAGTCCTCCGGCTTTTTCCCTCCACATTTAGAAACGTGCGTTTGAAGTATTTGGCTGCTTTAAAGTTCCACGTGATAAGCCACTTCGTTGCGCTATCATTTGTGGCCAGGTAGCTTCTCAAAAATAGCAACATAGCTCAGTGGGCCTTACCTGGTAAAATAAAAATTCGTTTAATAGCTCATTAATTTTGACCTTTCCTGGGAGACAACGATTATTCTCGCACGTGAGGGTCAGTCCATCCGTACAGTCGTGGCGATCGACGAGGCCTCTCCTCTGCCCCCTCTCGCCTCTGCGCAGACATCAACGAGTGCAGGCAGTACCCAGGGCGGCTATGCAGCCACACGTGCGAGAATGTGCCGGGCTCCTACCACTGCAGCTGCAGCAGGGGGTTCCAACTGGGCACCGACGGCAAGACCTGCGAAGGTGAGAGAGAGAGAGAGATTCCCACTGCCGGGAGGCACGGCCGCACGCGACGATGATTCTGTGGCACGCCGTCCTATACACGTACACGTGTGTGTGTGTGCGCGTGTGTATGCGTGTGTGGGTCTGTGTGTGTGCGTGCAGTTGTGTGTGAGGGGAGCGGTAGTGTAGCGGTTAGCGCGCTGCGCTATGAACCCGGCGACCCGGGTTCGATTCCCGCTCACGGCCAACACCAGTGACGATTATCTGAACCGGTCCCGGGCCTCCCCTAGGTCGACTCAGCCTCAAATGAGTACCTGGTGCGGTGTGTAAACATTGCTACTAGGGAGACAAAGGCGGTCGGGCGTGGTGCTGGCCACCCACCCTTTCGTGTACCGTTCCGGCCTTCATAGGTGCTCGCTAACAGCACTTGCCCCTACAGTCTGTTAAGGCTATTTGGGGGATCTTTGTGCGTTTGTGTGTGAGGGGAGCAGTAGCGTAGCGGTTAGTGCACTGCGTTACGAACCTGGCGGCCTGAGTTCGATTCCTGCTCATGACTAACACCGGTAACGGTTATTTGAACCGGTCCTGGGCCTCCCTCCCCTAGGTCGACTCGGCCTCAAATGAGAACCTGGTGTGATGTGTAAACATCGCCACTAGGGAGACAAATGCGGCTGGGCGTGATGCTGGCCAACCACCCCCTCGTGTGCCGTGCCGGCCTTCATAGGTGCTCGCTAACAGCACTTGCCCAAACAATCTGTTAAGTCTATACGAGGGATTTGTGTGTGTGTGAGTGTTCATCTTGAGGGGCGATGGTATTGAGGTAAGCGCAATTTGCTGCGAAACCAGCTAGCCATGTTCGATTCACGGTCACGGCTAACGTGAGTGGTGAGTGATATCATTACCGGATCCGGGCCTCCCCAAGTTCGACGCCGCTCTAAATAAGTACCTGGTGTATGGTGTGTGAACATCAGCACTAGGGAGACAAAGGCTGACAGTTGTGGTGCTCAGCTTATTACCACATGGCATGCCATACCAGTGTCAGAGCCGATATGTTTCCCCACTTAACATTTTTTCACCCGAGGAAGCAATATTCCGAATTGATGTCGCACAGAATGCTAAACCATAGCCCTAACCCTTAACCCTAAACATTGACCCTAGCCCCCTAATCTCTAAACCCTAACCTTTGCCCAGATACAACAATAAATGGTGGCGAACTAATGTTCACTGGTAGGAACAAGTATTAATTCAACCCCTAGCTGAATATTTGTGGAATACTTATTTACACTAGACTTGACTGCACCCGCCTGTCACAGCAGCCTGTGTGGCGGCAGGGGGGGGAATGTTGTCCATGCTACTGGGGAGAACTCTATGACAGTAACTTCGCTGGCAATTGCATTTGACATATATCCTTGTTTATTTACATATTAGTGCAATAGTCACCCCATATATGTTTGATGTTTAACGTTTGTGCAGCCTAGTTCTGTAATTCGTGCTGCGTTCAATCCGGAGGCAATCTGCCCCGAGCCAATTTACGCTGCGGGGAATTGTGTTTGTGTAATATCGATATACGGTAACATCCTAGTTCACGTCAGGGATGCATTCCTGATCGGTGCAACGACGAATCTCGGAACGACGTCAATCAAAGCGATTTAGAGGGTAGGTGGAGGCGACCGATACGACAAAGGACGGATGACCCTGTCAGCGACGTAAGTGTGGATTGAGGCGCTGCAAATCAGGTTGCGGTGTTAATAATAAAGTGACCGCGTATTTGCAGAACGACGTAAAAGGGGGAGACGTAAATTGGGGCATCGCTGCACCTTCTATTCCTCGTGTGATGCAGTTTGTGTTTTATGTCCTGATATCCTTTTCTTTGTTTTCCTTTCGTCAACATTTCGACAGCCCCCTGGGGGGTTGGGGGGGGGGGTCACTCTTGTGAACGAGACTCTCACCCCGTTCCTCTCGACCTCTCTCACTTGGCCACGAACAAAAGAAACCTTGAAGCTTTAACTCTGTCCTCGATGTCGCTGCCGTCGTCGCGATTCTGCCACTCTCGCTCGCAGACACAAACGAGTGCGAGTCTAGCCCCTGCAGCCAGGAGTGCGCCAACGTCATCGGCTCCTATCAGTGCTACTGCCGCCGCGGCTTCCAGCCCAGCGAGGTCGATGGGGTCACCTGCGAAGGTCAGCGCCGGCCCACCCGGCCCGCCGGCCCCCTGGCCCCCCCATGGGAGAGGCGACGCGCGGTCCCGTCGTGTACGGTGCGACGACGTGGATGAGCCGCTCGTCACGGGAGATCGCGGCGCTGCCGCCTGCCCTGATTGATGCCAGGATGGAGAGATGTTAACTACCTCGCCTGGTATTCAGGAGTTTGTGGGTTCGATCCAGACCCTGACGTCTGCTTTATGTTTCGAGTTTGCGTGTCTCTATTCCCATGGTCACATGGAATTTTCTTGTTAGGTGGCAGTTATGCAACATTTTTGTAAAGTTGTGGCACCACGGTGGCGAGATGTTAACTACCTCGCCTGGTATGTACGAGGTCCTGGGGTTGACCCTGACTTCGACGCCTGTATATTTGCATGTTCTTTCCGTGATCGCGTAGATTTTTCTCCGGGTCCTCCAGTTTTTCCATCCACATTTAGAATGAACACGTGTTTAGAGTATCTGGCTGCCATACATTTCCACATGATAAGCCACTTCATTGGGCTATCATTTGTGGCCTGGTCGCTTCCGAAAAGAGCTGTATAGCTCAGTGGGCCTTGCCTGGTAAAATAAAAAAATAGTCTAGTTTATATAGCGCCATAATCCGACGCGCTTTACGACACAATTGTATTTAAGATGACAGTGGTTGCAATCAAGAGAAGGGTTATTAAAAGTGTTTGTGTGTTTGTTATGGTGATGATTAGGAGGACGGGTAGGAGTAGTTGAAGAGGGGTTGCGGTAAGGGTAGTGATAGGGGTTGGGGTAGGCTTATGGGTAGTGGTAGGGGTAGTGAAAAGGTGGTAGTTACAGTGGTTTGGCGTCAGTCTGGTCATAGCTGTGGGGCAGGAGCAGGGAGTAGCAGTAGCAACGTGCGGGCATGTGAATGCTCTCACAAATATGCACCGTGTGTGTACGCGCTGTCATTACTCACGCAATCGTTGCACGTGCGTGTACCGTCCTGTGCACGCGTGCGTGCACGTGCCTGTTTCCCGCAGACGTTGACGAGTGCTCGCTGCCCGGGAGTAATGGCGGGCTCTGCGCGTACCGCTGTGCCAATGTGCCGGGCAGCTTCGAGTGCTACTGCCCCGCGTATGGCTACACCATGTCGCCCAACGGGCGCTCCTGCCTGGGTGAGCATGCACGCGCACACACGCGCACACACGCAAGACAAATATCCCTCGTATAGCCTTTAACAGACTTTTGGGACAAAACACTTTTTGCGAGTAGCAGCTATGAACTGTGGCCCACGAGGGGAGTGGGTGGCCAGCACCGCGCCCAGCCGTCTTTGTCTCACCAGTGACGATGTTTACACACCGCAGCAGGTACTCATTTGAAGCTGAGTCGACCTGGAGGAGGCCCAGGACCGGCTCAGATAATCGTCACTGGTGTTGACGGCCATAAGCGGGAATCGAACTCGGGTCGCCGGGTTCGTAGCACAACGCGCTGACCGTTTCGCCACCACTCTTTTCTTCGTGCGCGTGCGTGTGCAGACCTGGACGAGTGTGGCACCGGCACTCACAACTGCTCGTCATCTGAAAACTGCTTCAACATGCAGGGCGGATTCCGCTGCCTCTCCTACCATTGTCCGTCCAACTACCGCCGCTCGGCAGAGAAGTAGGCGATCCGACGTCCGTCCGACTTTGCCTCCGCCCGTCGGCACAGACCTCGTATTCCGCTTGTGTCCGTTTTAAGGCGGGTGTGTCAAGTATTTTTTTATTTGTTTGTTGACCTTTCGCTTGCACCTGCGTGCGCATGCATACGGCATCTTGTAAAGCCCCTGGCGGATGAGGACTGTCCCCCCCCCCCCTGTGCCGCGCAGGCAGTGAGGGTTATTTGAACCATATTTCACCACGCCAGTCAGCGTGGGGTTGGTGAAGTTGTGATAGCAAAGATGTGGGAGCATGGAAGCACGGGATACAAATGGATGTTGTTGTCCTGCCCTCTGCTGCCCACTGTAGCCCCAAAGTCTATAGCACCTGTTATGCATGGTGGTTGCCCAATACAAGCGTTATCCAGGTTCATCCCTCCTTGGTGTCCGAGATTTTAAAGAGAATGGGTACATTCTGGGTTTATTTAGTCATAGGCTTAATTGTTCATAATCATAAGAAAGATGATGGAACAAGTAATCATTTACAGCAGTTTGTAAATCCACTGCTGCATGAAGGCCTCATGTTGGTTGAATGAACATACTTCACTCTCCTCCTGCCACCAACACTGCTGTCTCTGACATAATTCTCCTCCGAGTTAATCCACTGCTGGATGAAGGCCTCCATACACTACGTTGGTCATGGGTGGAGGGAGGGGGGATGTTATTCAGCCATACTTCACCATCCACTGCTCTCGGTGATGTCACTCCATTGCCCCCGTCCATGACCGTCTGTCTCTCCCGTGTCATCTCTCCCGTGTCCCTCCCACGTCCCTCTGCCAGTCGCTGTGAACGAATGTCGTGCGCCGACCCGCAGGACTGTGCCAGCTCGCCCGTTCGCATCACCTACTACCAGTTGAGCTTCCCGCGCACCGTGCCGCTGCCCGCCAACATCTTCCGCATCGGCCCGTCGCCCGCCTACGCGGGCGACACCATCACGCTGGGCCTCACGGCGGGCAACCACGAGGGGCTGTTCGCCACGCGCAAGATGAACGCGTACACGGGCGTCGTGTACATGCAGCGCGCGCCCGACAGCCCCCGGGACCTGCTGCTCAACGTGGAGATGCGGCTCTTCCGCCAGGGCACGTTCACGACGTTCCTCGCCAAGATCTACGCCTTCATCACTTCCGAGGACTTCTGAGAGAGCGGGGGGCGGGGGGGGGGGGGGCAGCACATGTGCGTGCGGGCAGGACTTAGGACTTGTGTGGGCGGGTTGGCGGTGATGGTGGTGGGGGAGGAAAGGGATGGTTGGTACCACGGCAAGCGTTTCAGATTGTGCTGTTTTGGTTCTGGCTTGTCTGGTCTGTTGCCCGGCAAACCGTGGAGGAATTATCTAAGGCCGTTTTTCTTTTTTCCATTACCGAGTGTTCATCCAATACGTTTGGCCGGATAAACGGGACTAAAAGTGTGACGAGTGCGATGGGAATGACCGCTGTTCACCAACTTTCTGCTATTGTGGGAATCTCAAAGTACATCGTAGATGCCATTGTGTTTTGGAAACTTTTGGTTCGATACCCAGTGACGATGTCTGAAAGGAAACGGGTTCCCTCAAGTAAGAATGCATAACCATTGCAATTTTTTTGGACAGCCTGTAGATGGACTCGTGTGGTAGCAGCTGGGTGAGTTGTTGCATCTCAAGCCCGGCGAGAGATTGTGACGGCTCGTGTAAGCCTTCGTGGATAGATCCTGGCTGATGATAGTGATGAGCAGCTCCTAAGATACGTCATTGCTGGCATAAGCCTACGACATCAAATTATCTCTGGCACTCCATAAACTATTTTGTTATTTACCAGGTAAGGCCCACTGAGCTATGTAGCTATTTTTCAGAAGTGACATGGCCACAAATTATAGCTCAACGAAGTGGCTTATCACGTGGAAATTTATAGCAGTCAAATACTCTAAATGCATGTTTCTACATGTGGAGGGAAAAACTGAAAGACCCGGAGAAAAAAAATCAGGCGACTACTGGGAGATAGAACATGCATACTCTAAATATACAACAGGCGGCAAGGTCGGGATCGAACCCGCGACCGCGACCTCCTGCATACCAAGCGAGGGAGTTAACATCTCGTCACCAAGCGGACTAGTGCCGTTGGCGGCGATGCACGCAGAAGCAGGCAGCACACACACTTAAGTTTGTTTCTGTGTTACCGTGCCGCTCGTTTGTCCGTGGTTGCTAAGAGGGGAAAAACACGCGAGCGCCGAGGAATCGAAGTCTCCTTCGTTCGTTACCCCACTGCCCTACACCAGGTGTATGTTAAAAAGTCCTGCGAGTGATGGCGAGATTCCAAAGCTCACGCTTCATGTCTGCGCCGCGTGTGGCCTTGCAAGGTCAATTAATAATTTTGCGGCTGGGATCGCGGTTTGTATTTTCGAGGCAGCTAGGAAACGTTCACCGCTGCCTCCAACAGGAGTCACAAATCACCCCCGGTTGCCACTCGCTGCGTAATTCGCGGAATATTTCTTTTTTACATATATACACACAGTATATAGTTTCCATGTCAGTTCGAAACGAGGATTAATTTCGCACGTATTTTTAGGGTCGCCCCGTAGAACTGGAGTTGGTGGTACGTGGCGAAGGGCCACAGCCGAAGCGAGAGGTGGTGGTACCGATCGCGAGAGAATATATTCTGCGTCAGACAGACCCGGCTAAAATTAATCCCTGATTTCGAAGCTTTTCAAACTTCCAACAAATAAATGCTGAATTAGTTTGGGGGGGGGGGGGGGTTGGTGATGCGTTTCAGAACAAACGTGATAAGGAATAATTCTGTGAAATGGTAAACATTTAGCAAATAGTAGCACGATCGCTGAACTTTTTAAAACACCACTACGGCATATCATACATTGTGTGTGTATTAAGGTATCGTATATATTTTATATTTGTATATCATAACAGGTGGTTTGAGTTTGGAGTCCTGAAGGAAAACGTATTTAATCAGCATACATCATCTGCTAGAACATGAATCAGACAAACAGACATTGATAATAATACATTGATTTGATATAGCAGCATTCATGCTAACAGCAGCCCACAACGCTGTACATTAATTATATATAAGGACCAAATCCAATATAAGCGGTTGCCTAAGTACAGCGCGAAAGAAGCCTAACACATACATGCCAAGAAAATAAAACTCGTCCTACGAAGCATTTTTTTTTCCATAAATTAACAAATTAAGAAATGGCACCAAAACGAAAAAAGCACAAAAAAGTTTTCTCGTAGAAGCTGGAACAAAGGCTGAAAAGTGCGCAACTAAGCGTGCAGCGGTGCATAGATCGAGTTCCGCTGAGACACGGGAAGAGTTCCGCTGAGACACGGGAAGAGTTCCGCTGAGACACGGGAAGAGTTCCGCTGAGACACGGGAAGAGTTCCGCTGAGACACGGGAAGAGTTCCGCTGAGACACGGGAAGAGTTCCGCTGAGACACGGGAAGAGTTCCGCTGAGACACGGGAAGAGTTCCGCTGAGACACGGGAAGAGTTCCGCTGAGACACGGGAAGAGTTCCGCTGAGACACGGGAAGAGTTCCGCTGAGACACGGGAAGAGTTCCGCTGAGACACGGGAAGAGTTCCGCTGAGACACGGGAAGAGTTCCGCTGAGACACGGGAAGAGTTCCGCTGAGACACGGGAAGAGTTCCGCTGAGACACGGGAAGAGTTCCGCTGAGAGACGGGAAGAGTTCCGCTGAGACACGGGAAGAGTTCCGCTGAGACACGGGAAGAGTTCCGCTGAGACACGGGAAGAGTTCCGCTGAGACACGGGAAGAGTTCCGCTGAGACACGGGAAGAGTTCCGCTGAGACACGGGAAGAGTTCCGCTGAGACACGAGAAGAGTTCCGCTGAGACACGGGAAGAGTGGACAACGCGCGTTTGGGGAACGAGTTCGCAAGAGGCCAAATCTCCTTTTTGGCCGCTTAGGTAATTCGAGTGGTTCCTGGGCAAGACGCCGTCGTTTGGAGGGGAGGGTTGGTGGCCGGAGGTCGAGATCAACGGGGGGGGGGGGGGGGGGGGGGGGGGGGGGGGGGCGGCAGTCAAAGGGAGGGAACGCGACCCGAGAGGACGTCTGCCGTGGGCAGGGCAGCGGCAATGAAATCGGGTCATGTGCAGGCGGCCAGATGGACGTAACTGTTAAACCAAACGATGTCTTATTTTACGAGACAAGGCCCACTGAGCTATATATCTCTTTTTTTACAGAAGCGACCTGTTCACAAAGGATAGCTCAGCCAAGCGGCTCATCACGTGGAGATTTATAGCAGCCAAATACTGTAAATTAGTGTTTCTAACTGTGGAGAGGAAAAACCGGAAGATCCTGAGAAAAATCCATTCGACCACGGGGAGAACATGCAAACTCCAAATATACAGCAGGCAGTCGGGGTCGGAATCGAACCTACGGTCTCCTGTACATTAGGCGGGGAAGTTAACATCTCGCCAGCGTTGCATCGCGAAATTGTGAGAGATAGTAGCGGGGGTGGAAGCGGAGCGGCCTTCATCCAGCAGTGGATAGATCATGGCTGATTGTATGTTGAACTTTCGCACCGTACGTAGCCAACCGTGCTAATTGGACGTGCGGGGAAAGTTCAACAAACTAAACGCAAAAAGCAGTTCTAAAGAAATTAATTTTCAGTCTAGATGATTTCAATGTGCTTGGCTTCCTAATATCGGAAGGAAGAGCGTTCCAGATGGCCGCAGAAGTGCATCTGAAAGCACGTGATGCAGCGGTCATCTTTGTTCGATGGTCCGTAAAAAGCCACTGCGAGGATGACCGGAGTTTGCGTGATTGATAATTATGCGCCTTGATTGTGATAATATAACACGTTTTTTTTCATGGTCTCTCCATGAAATCCACATTGGCGCTCTCCTGTTGTGTCTGCCATGCGACGATCACTGTGCAAGGCATTGTGGGAAGGCCCACCGATTGTGGAAAAGGAGGCAATTGAAGGGACCTCGGATGTAGTTCTCTGATGCCATTTGCCAGAGGCCACTCTCTGACAGGGTAGACCACTACTGTATGTGAAAATTACAAACTGAAAATGTATTTGTCTTGTGACACGATGCAGGACTATGCAAAATCCAATTGCTGTATTGTACTTCTATCCTCCCACATATCTCCTCCCCAGCTTCACTTAACCCTCACTGACCAGCGTGATGCAGTACGGTTAGATAACTCGCACTACCTGCTTGTTGTGGGGAGGCCCTCATCCAGCAGTGGATATACAAATCCCCCCTCTCCCTTGCCAGTTGACCACAAACAGGTGAGCGAAACCCCTACATTGAGTTGTGGGGTGTGGTTGGTGGTAGTTGTGGTGGTTAGGATGGGTGGTTTGCTATGGCGGGGGGGGGGGGATAACGTCACTGAGAGTGTGGCTGTACATATACATTATAATGCCAATAGCACATTTTGAATGACTTTATTTTTGTTTAAACGCTGTTAATTAGGTACCCCCCCTCCCTTCGACTGCGTATTTTATCTCCGCGATGTTTCTGCTCTTAGCCAAGGGCTGGCATGTAAGGGTTCATGCAACGCCCTTCGGAAATTGCGCGATGACCACATTCAAATGCCAGCCTGGGGCGTGAGATTGAAAAGGAGGACCAAGCCAAGGCTCAGAATTTATTTTGGCTTTGGCCACCGGCGGCGTCGCGCTGGATTTTTACTTTCCACGCCTTCAAAAAAAGGGGCTTCTGTTCCTAGTCCCGAGTACACAAGACTGACAGATCGGGGAGCAGTGGAAAACTTAAAACTCTTTGGCAAAAATATCGAGTAATGTCCATGTCTGCGCTGGTACAAGTTGTATTTAAACAACCGACTCTCTGTTTACTTTTTTCCATAAGGGGCTTGATAAACATTTGATGTTTTGGGGGATTTTCTTTTTATTCCATCCTACACAAAATGTAAAATGTTCTGGGGCCTAGGATTTGGCATTTGGGGCCATCCATTGAGTACGTACGCACGCATGGAGGGGGAGGGGGGGTTAACCCAAATACGTACGCTTGTGTATGGTGGGGGGAGGTCTACTGACAATGTACGTACGCATAGGAAACGGGGGGGGAGTGAAGCCTCGATAATAATTTGTCTACATTGGCCTTCAAAAGAGCCACAGTTCAGTTTCTTCAGCTGTCAGACAAGAAGTGTGACTGTGGGAGAGGTGTCACTTGTGTGCCACCGTGCCCCTGACTTCGAGCTATCACGCAGCTCTGCAAAACGAGTGGCCAAGTTACGCCACTTAATTATTTAATGCAGCCGGCGGTGGACTATCTGTTTGCTTAAACACGTTAATATTATTAATCCTTGATCGTTTCTGCGTGGATTAAATATCGGCCGTTCTTTCGGATGGGGAGGGGTGGGGTGCGTCAAGCGAACGTACGCAGGTGGGGGGGGGGGGGGGTAAAAAGTACGTACAGGGAGGGGGATAGGGGTCAAGTTTTGACAGATTTTTGCGTACCCACTAAATGGATGGCCCCTTTTTGAGTTGGAGATGGCTGAATAGGGCACAGCGTTGAGCCCGGTACCCCTGAGAACCCGGTTTGAAATCCAGGCTTCGGCCACTCTTTATTAAATTTGGTTCCCAAGTGTAAGCGAATTGATGGTCTTGGCTCAGTGAATAATTAACCCACGACCTCTTGGATACCAGGCGAGGTAGTTAACATCTGGTCCCCCGTGACACCACGAATCACTGCATACACAACAACAACAAAACCAACTTGTCGAAATGTTGCAGCTCCGAGATTAAAATATATATTGTGTATTGCTTTGACTGGCATGTGTTGAAAAAAGTGTGGATGAAGGCAATTCAGAAGCAGTTCTGTGATGTCTCCTTCACGGGCCGTTCTTTTCCACACGGGCGGGGGGGGGGGGTGAGATGCACTGCTTTGGGAGCTCCGCACGGGCGGTTCGCCTCGTCAAATGGCACCGCACCGATAGCACAAACTGGGTAGAACATTGAGGATTAGACGAATGGCAGGTATGGTTATTTTATAATAGTACAGTGGTGTTGAGTGAAAGTTATCTATTTACAATAAGAATATACGAATACAATGATTAGCATTACTACAGGACTTTCCGTTATAACTGTTAGAGGATGTATAACACTTTGTTTATATCTTACAATAGAATAACCTCGTATCATGCCTATTATTAGCAGTGCGCCACCACTACGGTACTTTAATTACGACTTATTATTTTATGCCAAAGTTATATTATTTTCGTTGCGCATGTGTGTGTGGTATAAATAAATGTAAGCCTGCTTACTGTGGTATAAATAAATGTAAGCCTGCTTAACTGAATATTTAGTGGCCAGGTCAGAAGTAGCATGGCTTTTAAAACTACTTCGTAGTAAGTGTGTGTTCACGGTTGCGCTGTACGGCGCTTCGATGGGGTCTTCGGGGGTCTGCCCGCCATGATGTCCGACGTTCCGGTCCACGTGCCGGAGGTTTCTTCGCGAAGTTAATTCAGTTCTTTCATCAGTAACTAAATGTAGTGTTTTTAAAGCTGCCTGTCTTTGTGCAGCTAATCGACATAGGTTCAGCCGATGTCTCTTGTAGTCTGTGTGTACATTTATGCTGTCCCGCCGCTTACTTGATTCGTGCGCTTGTGTTTTGCAGGGTGGCCCAAAAGTCAGGACACACATAGGGCTATTTAATTTATCTGAACACCGACATTAAAACATTTTCATTGTTCATTAAGTTAATATTGTCTTCGTATATTACAATTATTAATATATTATTCATATATTATTATTCCTTTTCAGATGACATTTAAAATGGAAGGAAAATTGACTCAAGACGAACGAGTTCAATTCGTTGTTTTTTTGTTACGCTAAAAGAAGGCAGCAGCTATATTTTTAAAGTCCTACATTAATTTCAACTGAGAATTCGTGCGTGCATTAAAGGCAAGGGGAAGACAGCTTGGACATTTAATGAAATAAATTAAATAACCCTGTGTGATGTATTAAAATAAGTATTGTAATAATAACCCGTACATGTTCTGACCTTTGGGCCAACCCGTATATACGTACGGTATTTTATTGGAATATGTATTTAAACGCCTAAGGCGTAGCCGAATACTCGACCTTACAGCGGCGACAACATTCTGTGGGCTCAGCGGCGGTGGGCAACTTCCTGGCTGAGCCCGCGGGCCGGATCGGACCCGGGACTTAATTTTATGCGCGGTCACGCGACGCCCACCCATCCACTCATCCACCCACCACGACATTTGTCCGTGACTTGCGAGCAAATTGGTACTAGAGGAGGGGGGGGGGGGGATATTTTGGTGCTGGAAACAACACATCTTTTTAAAAATAATTTTAACGCACCGAGTCGCTGCTTTCACTCACTGTTGGCAGCGATAGCAGTGATCTAGGTGTTATGTGACCCCTACCTTACCTTAGTGAACGGCAATGTAAGCGGTTTCCCAGGC